CATAATCCGCGCTTCGGAACTCTCCATGAAGCTTAGCCTAGATATCTTTAAGAAGTAATCGCTAGTAGCCTCGCGCAAATAATTTCACAAACATACCAAAGTTCCACAAGTTTCCCTCCTCACTTCGCGACTTTGGAAATTTTGTGGAACTTTGGAAATACGTGTGAGGATAATCCTTATAATCTTTAGTAGTTCCTCAGTGCTTAGTGTATGCTATTACAAACACTACGCACTGAGGAATATTCGTCTTTTTCCTCCTCCCTCTCTAATAAAGGTGGATTTGCAGTGTCGCGTGAGTTTTTCCGTAAGTTAAACGTGCGTAAAGTGCGTCAGAAATTTCCACTGCCGCGTTAAAATCAATATGTTTAACTTTTCTCTGTATTCTTGTGATTGCAGAAGTGCGTAAAATTGTTTCAAGATTTTTTTGTAAAATTGTTCTTCAACGCACACTGACTTGCGTGGACGAAAGTACGACAGCAGAAATCTAATTAAGAAGCGTGCTAATGAGTATTGAGAGGAATCTTTTGTCTATCGTGTTATTTTTAAAATCGTCTTGTTTCTTAACATGGAAGACAGATATACCTTAAAATTTCAGAAAAGTCATATGCTGATGTAAGGTTTTTAGATAAAAAACTGTGGCATGTTCACAAGCTTGACATTTTTTTCTTCCGGCTGCTTTCTGTTCAGAAAAGCACACTTCAAACATTTGCTTGAGCTCCATAACTGCCATGAGATCTTGTTCAATATTTTTCCTCCCAGTTCGCGTGATGTTTTCTTGTTGCCTATTTACATTTTCTTTTTAATGCAAACGCAACTTTTTTTTAAAAATTTGAAAATCTTTGAGCTTTGTTGAAACATGAATCATCTCTTTGTACTCGATGGCGTAATTCATAACAATCATGCGTATGTAGGTATATCTCGCGGTCAGAAGTAAATCCTTTTCTGCGCAAAAAAGGAAAGACAAATATGAGATCGTTTTCATGTCATATAACTTTTAATGTGATTACTCAAATCGAAGCAAAAACAAGCCAAACTTAGCATAGCAACAAGGAAATCATCTTGGTACAACCTATAATTAAAGAACATTTTCGGTGGAGGGTCATCAGTAATTAATATTTTGTCGCATGAATACTTGTGAGTGTAAAAAGCGGTTACGGACTTTCCAAGCTAAGCTTAAGATTACAGCAGTATATAAACCAAATAAAGTTCTATTTTTACGTTAACTACTATCATAATAACTGAACATATTGATACTAGCGAAACATAAGCCCTCTTGATTCAATAATGAAATACACGTTGATTCATAAACACAAACAACATAATAACGACTGAGAGAAGCGTTTTGTTGATGTTCAGTCTGTTTGAGCCGTCCGGATTTGTCTCGTACATGGTAACCATCGTACCTTGGACGGTGTTCTCGACTCGTGTACAAGTTGTTCCCGTCACAATAATCATGTTGTAACTGGCGAGACTTACAACTTCAAAGTCTTGATCCTTGGTGTCTTCCAACGACACTGTTTTGTCGACTCCGTGTAGTATTTTCGTTTCTCCATTTTTGTATTTCACTGCAGTTGTCAAATCAACCAAGTGGTCGTCGATTCCTTCCTTCCAACTCTCTTGAACGTGCTTGAACGCGAACCCAATTTGGTTTGTTTGACAATCACCGGAGAGCGAACTGAGGTGGCTTTGATTGGTGTGTACTTGATGATTTTAGGTTTTGAGCTGGACCCTCCAGAACTAGATCTCGATCGACTGGATCTTGAGCCTCTTGAGCTACCACCACGTCTTCTTGTTTCTGATAATTCTACCATCACCATAAGCACGATGGTAATAAGTAACACTGTAGCGAATCGCATTTGTCTGACAGCAACGACGATTAATACTAGGTTTCAAGTCAGTCCTCTGCCTAACTTTGTGAAAACTGAGTGCGTGTGATGCAGTCTCATCCAAATGAGTGATTACTATTGATAATCATGACATGTGTCAAGCTATTCTACTACTATTGGTTCTTTCTAACGCTTCGAGTTCGAGGGAAGAATAAAAACAACGGCCATCGTGTCTGATCGTATAAGTTGTTTTCGAGGAGCAATAAAATGAATTAGAAACTTGCGTTGTTTTCTGAACTTTTTGACACACAATCTGTGTGAAAGACAAAAGAGTGATGATAATGTGCATACTTGAATTATTTGGATTTTTAAATAAACGTTGTCAAAACCGGTCAAAACTTGTGGAGAAATTAAGACGCAGTCTCTTTAAAAGCGGTCCGGTGCGTCTCGGGTTGGAAAGTCGATTTCTTTCAAACTTTGCCTAGGAATCTACCTTAGTTTAATAGTAATCAAAACCACCTTGGTTTTTGCAAATATAGCAAAATAACTTTTTCCTAAGCGAAAATCGCTTCGGCGCTCAAACGCCAGCTTTTAAAACACCGAATATAAAAATGGCACAAGTTGCCGAGCTCGTTTTCTCACAAAATTCCAGTTCCAGGGTTTTGTTTTGCTTTGCATATTTAGATCAACCCTTTATAAGAACAAACCACATAAATTTGGTTTTTTTAACGGTTTTTTTTACTGCAAATTTTTTTTTTGACACCTACTTTGACGCTATCGCCATGACCGGAAATATGCAACTTTTTATCTCGGCTCAGCGCAAAATTCCAACTTCTTTCATAGGATATTTCTATCCAGACTGACTAAGATAGGGTGGAGGAGCATGAAAATATAAAAACATGTTGCGGTTTCGGCGAACTTCTGGAATAGCCAATGAAAATTCGACCTAACAGTGCACATGGAGCGGTCTAAAAAATACACGAAACTTATACGGCCAACTTATGTTTGACGAGTGATTTGAATCTATAAAAGCTTGTTTAAGGCTCGCAATAGGATAAAACATCATTAAGTAAAGAAAAATATTCATCTTCATCTAGAAAAATACAGCCACCGAAAGTTGACTCTCAGCTATAGGCGACCTGTGGTTTTGTTTATCACTCAATTAATGGAGAAGTGGAAAAAAAATTCAGAGGCAGGATAGCTATGACAAGATTGAGGTTTATTCAGAATAAGACTAAGTTTAAAGTCGAAGTTTTTGTACTCGTGGTACTTAAGGGGGCATCACAGTTGGATTTTGAAGAAAAATTGAAAATTTCACCTTTTTTATTTCATCTTAAATGATACTAGAATCCATCTAGTCTTAAACCATATATCTTTTTTTCGCTTAATTATTCATGCACCGCTAAAAAACAGCCGCATTTGAAGGCTAGTATATTGTTTGTTTGCCACGGCAAAGGTAATCCAATCGTTTCGGCAGGTTGTGTTTCTCCAAAATTGTTCAAAAACTTATTTCACTTGATCCTGAGACCCCCACGTCCAGCCCCAGATCTTTCAAGTGAAAATTCCACTAATATGAAGCCCGGTTACAAAGCACTCAGTCTTCTTAGATCGAGCACGAGCATCTATCTTTATCAACTGGTCTTCTTGTCCGTAAATCATGCCAAAAGTTAGGAAAAACAGTCTGTTTTAAGGAATTATGCCTCTAAAAGAAAGAAAGGTCTTAAGGGAACCTAGAAACAGGAGTACCGCACAAAAGAAGGGAAAAAAAGCGAGCTGTAGAAGTCACCTTCGTTGGACTGAAACACAGCTGTGCAGGGTGGGTAAAAAGGGAAAGAACCAAAGAACCTGAGAATACCTTCAAGTAGGTGTGCTGTGATGCACAAAAGGCCATTTTAGGGAATCATTAGTCTTGCAAATGATATTTAGATAAAACTGAAGTTTTGATTGCATTTTCCGAAAATAGCTTTTTTCGGGGTAATTTTGTTGGCCCCTCAAATTTCTCGAAGAGTATTTCTGCTATTGACACCAAAATGGTATAAAGACTTTTTAAGTAGTTATGAGGAAATGACAAAAAAGTGAGGGGCCCCAATTTAATCCTCAAAATAGCCCTTCACAGTAGCTTGTTAATTGTTAACCTAAAATAAAAAACATGTTTACTCTAAACATGCCATGTGGTAGGCAATTGCCTGGGTGTACTTCTTACCACGTTTGAGCTGATTTGATTGAATTGTTGATTAAGTATGATTTTTGAAGTACGCTACCAAAATCTTACCATGAACCAACCGTGATGCCCCTTTAAGTGAAGTCCTTTCCACTTGATGTATGTGACATGTAATCAAATAATGTTTGACCAGGCGAACTAATTTATCTCAAGGTCCTTCATTCTGAATTTATGAAACCTCACGAATTCGCCAGAAATAAAATATTGAAAACCCAAAAAAACATGGTAGATTTTTTCTAAGAGTACCGAGGGGAATCTTTTGCCAGTCGTGTCATTTTAAAAATCGCCTTGTTTCCAAACATCACTTGTCAAACATTCGATTGAGCTCCATAACTGCCTTATATCGCAACAAATAGCAGATCTCGTTCAATTTTTTTTCCTTCCAGTTCACGTGATGTTTTCTTGTTGCCTATAAATAACCGCTTTTTAATTCGAACGCAACGCTTTCTAAAAAATTTAGAAAAATTTAATTACATTAAAAACTAAGTTTTTTTTTCGTTTGTCTCACGATGTAGTCACGTTGAAGTAGATCGCGACGTTTCGACTGCATACTGCTACTGTTCTTCAGGCGATGAAGTGGACTGGTCATGCTTGATCTTACAAAGCATGATGCTCTGCTGTGATCAGTTGTTTTTTCGCTCCCTCTATGACCAGTCGACTCATCGCCTGAAGAAGACTAGCATTATGCAGTCGAAACGTCGCGATCTACATCAAACATGACTACATCATGAGACAAACGAAAAAAAATTTAGCTTTTATTGTTATTCACCACGATGAATAACCACAACCTTTTCTACGAAATTTAATTAGATTATAAGAAATCCTAAGCTTTGTACTCGATGGCGTAATCTATGCGTGACAATCGTGCATATGTAAGTGTATCTCCCGCGGTCAAAAGTCAATCCTTTCCTTCGCCAAAAGGGAGCCATATGAACTACAATTACGAAATGAAATCGTTTTCATATCAAATAAATTTAATATGGTTACTAAAATCGAAGCAAAATCAAGCTAAATGCAAATTTAGCATAGCCACGTGCAAATCATCATGGTACAACTTATCATCCTACAATATCTTCGGTTGAGGGTCGTTGATAGTTCTTAATTTGTCGCATGAATAACCGGAAGTTTTAAAAGAGGTTATTCACTTTCCAAGCCAAGCTCGAGATTTCAGCGGGCTAAAAGCCAGTTAAATTGCTCTTTCGACGATAAGTACTATCATTATCACTTTTTCAGGCTCAAATGACTATGAGTCGCGCCTGAACATATTGATGCCGGCGAAACATTAGTCCTCTTGATTCAACAAGGAAATAGATGTAAATTCATAAACATTAACAACGTAATAACGACTGAGAGTAGTATGTTGTTGATGTTCAGTTTGTTTGAGCTGTTCGGATTTGTCTCGTACATGATAACCATCGTTCCTTCGATGGTCGTTTCAACCTTTGTACAAGTTGTTCCCGTCACAATAATCAAGTTGTAACGGGCAAGGCTTACAACTTCAAAGTCTTGATCCTTGATGTCTTCCAACGACACTGTTTTGTCGACTCCGTGTAGTGTTTTCGTTTCTCCATTTTTGTACTTCACTGTAGTTGTCAAATCAACCAAGTGGTCGTCGATTCCTTCCTTCAGTGTTTGACTCCCTTCTGATGTATCCAAACACAAATTTCCATTGTCATCCAGCAGCCTTTCTCTCTCAAAGGTAACCCTCACTGCTCTCATCTTCGGGATGGAGACATAACTCCGGTACATTGGATATCCCATCCGATAGACTGGGGCACTGCTGAAAGGATGGCGGTGCTGCGAGTTGGCAAAGACAACTTTCTTGAACGTGATTGAACGCGAACCATAGTGAGTCTGTGAGACGATCACCGGGGAGCGAACTGAGGTGGCTTTGATTGGCGTGTATTTGGGGATTTTAGATTTTGAGCTGGACCCTTTGGACCTAGATCGACCGGATCTGCCTTTACGTCCTCTTGTTTCTGATAACTCTACCATCATCATAAGAACGATGGCAACAAGCAACACTGTAGCGAATCGCATCTTGTCTAACGGCAATGACGTGTAAAATTGGGTTTCAAGTAAATTCCTCTTCCCAATTTTGTGAAAATTGAGTTCGTGGGAGGCAGTCTCGACCACTTACTCTGCACGAGGAAAACCACTATCCTCCGTGTTATGTACGTGATGAATTCAGTTACCAAGGTCAATAGGTGTGATTAAGATTATTACACTATCAGCAAAATGAGTGATCACTTGGACATCTGTCAATCAGTTCTATTTCGTCAAAGCGGATTTTTGCTTACCTCAGGTTCTTTCTAAGCCCTCAACGGAAGAATAACAACAACGGCCATCGTGTCTGATCGTATGAGTTGTTTTCGAGGGGCAATAAAATGAATTAAAACCTTGTGCTTGTTTTCTGAACTCTTTGGCACACAAGTTGTGTCAATTGAAGCCAAAATTGAAGGAAACGACGGTAAACTACTTCGCGTTAAGACATCACGGGTCGATTAAAGTATATACACTTGAGCACAGTGAGTCATATAAAACAATACGCCTTGTATCATCTCTTGAAGTTGCCAGGTATGACTGCTTGCCCCACCGATTTTCCCTAACGTTTCAACCTCTTCTGTTTAGCGTAGAAAATTAAAAAGAAAAGTAATTTTCAACTTGTGTTTGAATCTTTATTTTTTTTAAGTTTTTCGCTTTTGGCTACTCTTATTTCAACCCAACCCTTTTTCCACAACTTGTAAACATCATTAAAAAATAATTAGTCAGGGAAATGGAAAATTTGTGGCATAAACACCATGTTTGAAATGCGATGTCCATGAAAAGCTAACAGGGTTGAGGATTAATTGCTCCTCTTTGCGATGTTTTGATGAGGTTGGGCTATCAGGGAAAAGAAACTGAGGATTTTAGCAAGTAATGCCTTTTTTCAAACCTGGAAGCTATCACCGTGAAGGCCATACTTGTAAATCATTCTTATTCTGATAAACTAGTTTTAAGAAGGATAAGATATTTTATTATATAAATTTGAGGCATATGCTGTGCATAAAACTTTCATTTGACTTTAATATTACAGCCAATACGAACCCCTACACATAATAAAATGTGAGAAGGATCAGAGGAAAAAATAATGTGCTATACATCTGCAAGATTTCCAGTAATTATTTTAATTACATGAATATTAACTGATACTAGGAGATTTAATCTTCAAAGGAAAAGAAAATTTGGTTGAAAAATTAGAACTCAGCATAGGCCGGATAAACAAGATTCTTAGGAAAAGAAATGTACACTAAGGAAAAAGCTAAGAAAACTTTTTTACAACACCTGCCTGTCCTGTACGGCATGTAGTAAAGTCATTAAAAGTAGTTATAGTCCTGGTTTTATATGTTGAAAACACATGCACATGCAGATTTCCTCTAAACCTGTAGTTCAAGCCTGCAATGACTTCGAAATTTTAATGCACACCTTAAAAGGAGAACAAATAAATCTCAAGTTTCTATTTATTCAGTTTACATGTTGGTTAGTGAGGTAAAATTGAGTCAAACATTCCTACGACGACAGGTTCAAGAAATTTTCACAACCGGCTAATTTTTAAGGTGTGGTAAGAAGGCAGGCTTTCCTTTCCTCATTTAAGAAATACTGAGGTTATCATCCTTCCACAAGCTCAGTGGAAAGTGAGACTGAATGAGACTGATAGCGACTATATTATTTAGATAAATATCCATAGGAGGGAAAAAAGTAAGATATGGTCTGCACAACTCTCTTATTTTAATTTTAATTTTCTAACCTTTAAAGTTAAAGCATTTATATTCTTGCTTTGTGCATTATGTGGAGTACGCCAATTAATTAAAATTTTAATGCGCCAAAATACAAAAAAATGTTCTCTGCATCTATGTGCCCTAAACATTACAGGGAAAGAGGCAGGTCAAAGTAAAAACATGAATTAATATAGGTGGGCCTTCATCAATTTCAATACATACATACATACATACATACATACATACACTTTATTGAGCATCCCTAAAAAGGACTTTTCAGCATCAATATTATGAAGAAAATTAAATAGATAAATAAATTAATTAATTACATCACTAATTGATTAAAAAAACCATGTAAAAATTATCTACATGAATAACTAATGAATAAATTAATTACGTCACTAACTGATAAAAAACTATGTAAATAACCTCAGTTCTTCAATCCCAACTAAAGGAGGATTCTTTTGCTTTTCCAGATTCCCATCCTTTAAAACTCACTTATCTTGTGACCAATTCCTTATATCAATGTTTACTTTGGGTTTGAGCATTGGCAATGAAAGCTTGAGAGAGAGTATTTAATGCAATCTAAATAATAATATGACATGTTACAATGTGGTAACTTACACAGCAAAATTATTTAATCACACAAT